AGTCTATTCTGCCCTATAAGGTCGCGATGAGTCAGACCCGACTTGATGGCAATGAGTTTTATTTTTGAAAGGGCTGAGAAAACAAAATAAAGAGTCTCAGATTACAGTAGTAAAGCTCAGAGTTGGGATCCAGACTTTTGTAGGAGTGTCAGCCAGCAGGTAGGTTCACTAATGGCTGGTTCTAGCTATCAAGAAATACGGTAAAAATAAAAACTGCTGCTACTTGAGCCAATGACATCTACAGGACGTAGGCGAGTCCTGAAAGCAAGCTCTTTAGAGGGAGTTCTGCCTTCTTTCTCCTCAAGTGCATACCTTCTTTTTAGCAACCTCTATTGGCAGAGAACAACAGGGAACCAGGAGCCAAAGAGAGAAGAAGTGGAAGGCTGCAATCCTCAACATATTCTGCTGCTAATGAGATGGTGGAGGTTTGAGGTCACTAAGAGGCACCTCAGAAGAAAGGCCTGATGACCTACTTCTGAACAAATGCATCCCTGAAGCCCTAAGAAGCACAGTGCGACTGGCACACACAGGTCCCCAGGAGTCCAAATGCATTCAAATGCAGCTGGTACATAATGCGTGCATTAAAAAGGAAATGTGTGTAAAGTCTCTGCCCTAGGAACACCTTCAATTTTACCCTCAAATCAGAAAGTCCATTCTCATGGTGTTATCTCCCACCATCTCAGCCAGTCTACAGAGGGCGGGCATCATGTACCGTTTTCTCCTCTCCGCAATGCAGTCCTCGGCGCTTTGGTGAGTCTCTCAGCGGATGCAGTGGAGGGACAGGTCTGCATCTGGCACTGAATAGACTCACCACATTGCATTTCTACCTTCTGAGGCCCTGTGTGTCCTTCTGCAATATACAAAGAGTTCTGCCCTTTTGACCCTATGGGTAGGCCACCACCGAGTCTGTGTTTCAGTCAATCAAACAACTACTAGCTAACTCTTCGGATCCAGATTTTCTCAAGAGTGCAACTGTGTTTGATCTGATCAAGTTGTTAGGCCCACCATCCTTACAATCCATTCTCACCCATATTCCCCAGGTGTGCACAGAGACAGATACACATTAGCAAACTGTTATCCTTCTTTGGGAGGGGACACTATTTTCAACCATCTCCCATTTTGTTCCTTTCTACCCAAACATGAAGAGGTTTGACCCCAGCCATGAGACTAGTGGCAAAAGGCAGTAGAGATGGGCTTTGAGTGGTCACTTGGGCAAGTTACCTGCCCTGGTGAGATGATTACAGCACCTATAAGGAATCCACTACCACAGGAGGCTTGGAGCGACTAGGGTTTCAAGGTTCTCAGCTTTGTCCAAGTCTACCCAGACGGCCCCATTCCAAATCTCAAGGTTCCATTGTTTCTCAATTTGAAATGGAGACAGTGACAGGCTGTGTGATTCTACTATCAGTGCGATTAAAATGATGCTCCAGTTTCGGTGAGGCTGGCCCTGCACTACATGAAAGGAACTGACTTAGAGCTCCCGGAGCAACTCCAAGTTCCAAAGAGCGGTCAAGAGATGAGCTTGCTGTCTGCGTTCTGTGAAACTTGGGAGAGCTCCTGTGGACTTGGAGGCAGTCACCCTATCCCTCCCAGTCACTGTAGTCATCACCACTGCCCTAAGAACTGAGGGTGCTAGCAACTTGGTTCCCAAGGCATTTGTTTCAGAAATCATTTTATCACTGTCCACCCAAGGTAGTAACCGGATTAACTGTGCTCTCGCTGCATGCCATGGATTATTTGTCCCATTTAGAATCTTGTTTTCCCTTGAAGACATTACTTAGTCAACACCAACACCCCAACCCCGTCTCTGCAGATTTCTCTTCCCGGACTCCATTCCTGGAAAGAATTGATCAGCCAGGATCCAGTCAGGAGACAGACCCTGTTATTTTAACAGAGAGAATGTAATATAAAAATTGTTAACTAGACATTCAAGAACTGAAAACAGTGAGACCATACATTGATGAACTGGAAAGGCAAAAAGGCGACATTAATTATCAAAGAGTTATAGGCGCAGGAGGCAACTACTACTCCTAGGACCAAGGGGGAAACAGAAGAGCGCTTCCGCTTAGCATGATAGCAGGTGGGACTAAAACCTGCTGGGAGGGGAGCAGGGTCTTTGAGGGAGGGCAAGGAGGCTAGTTCTAGGAGAGTGGAAACTATGAACTGGACAACTGTTCCTGCAGAGGGAGGCACTATTGTGGTGGTGAGGCAGACAAGACAAGGAAACAAACAGGAAGCGGCAAGTCCCTGTGTCCTCTTCTAGCCTTCCAGTCCCCCTCCCATACGGACAAAGCCTCCTAAGCAGCCAGCTGTCAAGGAAGAAATGCGGTTTGGGGGCTTCTTGGGGAAGCAGAGTACGTACGAGAGTTTGAAGTTGAGAGACACGAGCTCAGTACCCTGCACAAGTAGCTGCTGACTATTGCACAAGTACAGACATGGCAATTTGGGCTCCTTTCTGGCCGGCCTGTGCCTGGCAAACAGCAGGTGCTTAATAAATGTGAGCTATTGCTTAGAAGATGTTCACGGAATCCACCATGTAGTTCAAAAGAAATGCCATCATTCCAGTTGCGTGATTCTTTGCTGTTGCCTTTGAGATTTCAGTGATCAGCTGTTACTATTGTCATTGTGGGCTCTGAGGTGGGCTGCTAATGTCAAGGCCGGCAGTTTGATTTCAGCAGCTGTTCCTGGGAAGAAAGACAAGGCTTTCTGATTCCCATCAAGATTGACAACAACAAAAAAGACGAAATAGATTTATAACCTTTGAAACCCAACAGGGCAGCCCTATTCTGTCGTAGAGAATCCTAAGGAGATAGGAATCAAATCGATGGCAATGAGTTTGGTTTGGGTTCTTTCTCCAGGGAGCCCTGGTGGCACGATCGGTTAGGTGCCGAGCTGCTAACCGGAAGGCCAGTGGTTTTAAATAGGAGAAAGATGAAACTGATCCCAGAAAGGTTTAGTCTCAGAAGCCCTACAGAGGGTTAGAATCAACTCAACGGCAGTGAGTTTTTAAGGGGGTCCTTTCTCTACTTACACACAGTGAGGGTGGCAAGGACGGCAGTCATGGAAGAATGGGAAAGATAATCACAGAGTACTGAAGATGAAAAAACAGGCATGGCAGAGAAGGCTGATGACCAACGGAGGTTGGTTGTATTTGGATGTTGACAGCTATAGGAAGACAACCCGGAGTCCGCGTCCCTCAGACAGCCTTCAAGTCTAGATCTGAAGCTCCCCCTGAGAATCAACCTTCAGTATAAAAGGTCTTTAAAATGAACACTGACATCAGGGAAGAGAGTGCTGCAAAGTACAACCAACTGGTAGAAGAACATCCCCGAAACAAAAGCTCAGAAGGCACACGGGCAGGAAAGAAGCGAGGATAGAGGACAGAAATGGGCAACCCTAAGGTGAAGGTGGGAAGAGTGCGGTGACCGGAGGAAATTGCAACCAAGGTCCCAGAACAAAAGACATGTATGCTGTTGAATGGAAAACCAATGTGCTCTGTCAGCTTTCATGGCATAGTGGGTGTAGTAGTTATATAATCTGTTGTCACTCTGAGAGGATTAAGAGTGAAGGGGTGGAGTTTAGCCTGTCAATTAGGTCATAGCTTAATGACCTCATTTGGAGGCGCTAAGGAGATAAATAGCTCACTGGAGGCGGGATGCAGGCTCTCTCCCTGGGAGACATTGCAGCTGACAAGACTCATGGAGCTACGCTATTGCCCTGAGCTGGAGGAGCCACGTAGAGACCCCTGCCAGGATTGCCATGAGTCCAAATAGACTAGATGGCAGTGAGTTTGTATTTTGTTGTTTGTTTGTTTGTTTGTTTGTTTCATTCATGCGGTGTTCTCTGCATTATCTTTTCTACTTTACACATTCAATTCCATTTATTATTCAAAATTCACCTCCTGTCTCTCCTCTCATGGGAGCCCTTGCATCATAGTGACTACGTGTTGGGGTCCATAGTTAGAAACCCACCAGCTGCTCCTTGGGAGAAAGACAGGGCTCTCTGCTGCCATAAACAGCGACCATCTCAGAAACTCACAGTTCTACAGTGTCGCTGTGTTTCAGAACTAACTTGAGGGCAGTGTTTTTCAGAACGAGTGTCTCCCCTCAGCAGGGCCACCTGACCTTTCCAGGCCACCTCGCTATCCATTCAGAATCCGTTTGCTCCATCTGGAATCATCATCTTCTCAAAGGAATTTTGACAGCTGCAGCTTAAAAAAAAATGCTGTGTTCTAGTAAGATGGTTTCAACCAGCTTTACGAAGGGGCTTCAAAAAATTTGTAAAAATTAAAATTAAATTCGTGGAATTAAAAGATAATGAAATTTCCCTCACGAACGTTTTGAAGGCTCCTTATATTTCCTTCTAAGCTCTGTCTGAGCATGATACAATGGCAAAAGAAAATGTTTATAGCGTCTCTGAGCTGAAATAAATGCTCAAGGATTATCTAACAGTTCATTCTCCGCGACTCAGGTAAAGTAGCCTGTTATACTTCGAAATGCGTGTAGAAACCATTTGCGATCTCAAACGGTGAAAGAGTTGTCATAAATTACCCTGAAAGATTTGGTTCAGGCCAGCAGCAGCACAACAATCAACCTCATTACCGCCCCCACTCCCAGGACGCGGTGCAAGCGTGCGCGCAGGTGACAGTCCCCTCTGGTCCAGGGCACGCAGGAGGCGCCAATCCGGGACGGAAGCCTGAGGGACATCCGCTCTACCCCAGGCGGCTTTCTCACTTGGAGCTGGGTTCAATCGCCCCAACCCAGCAGCCCTTCAGGTGCCCAAAGCAAGGAGATGCGGACAGAATGCAGGGCAGTGACGCCGGTGAGGTGTCCGCCCTGTTTTGCTCCCGGAGCCAGTCGGAACCCGTGGCGCCTGCTCCCCGCCCCCCGGCCTCCCCGCCCCTCGCCGGCCGGCGCTCCAACTCTAGCGCCCCTGCCGCTCACCGCGACTCTCCCCTCCTCCCACCTCTGCCCCTGAGCCCCCAGCCCCGGGACACTCACCATCCCAGCACCAGGCCAGTGGTCACGACGAAGCAGGTAAAGACCACTGCGATATAAAAGAGCGGAGAGTACTCGTAGAGTGTTACCAGGAAGACCGCAGCCATCGGGGTCCCTTTCTGGGTTAGCCGCTCAGCCCAGCCCATCTAAGCTAGGTGAAAGCACTACGGTGCCCCAGCGCGGACAAACTTTATTAGGCCCGCATTCGCCTCAGGTTGACGTAAGCTAGACGTCGGGGCTGCCTCCCCGGCAGCTGGAGCCGACGAGCCAATGACGACGTTGCCTGTGGGGCCCAGCCACGCCCCCTCCGCTCCGGCCCCGAGCGATTGGCTCCGCAGAGGGGAGGGGCCCCGGCGGGCCCCGCCCCGGGCGCCTCCGAATAATTGCCGTGTGATGAACGCCTTAAGCGGCTCTGTGCTTCCGGTCATTTCTTTTTCTGTCGGCAAATTCCAAGACGAAGTTAAGCAAGCTGCCGGCTTTCTGATGACGCCAACGCCGTTCGAAGCCACGCCCACCGAGCTTCAGTCCTGCAGCCTTGCGGATTCCATCCGAGCTGAACTTGAGGCGCGGAGGAGGGTCGGTATTTGGGATTTTACTCCGTGAAATAATCCCACGCGTGTTTTTAAGATCAAAGAAAATAATCCGAGATTCTCACAGAAATTAAATAACTCTTCTCCTCCCACGACTCTTTTTTGCCGCTTCCTCCTCCGCCGCCTTCTTCTCACCCACTGCTATTGAGTCCATGCAGGCTCATAAGGAGTCAGTCTGATAATGTCAACTTTTTTATATATATTTTCACTGGCATCCTTTTTTTTTTTTTTCTTCCAAAAGCTAATTCCCACCCCCCTGTCCTCATCCTTTTACTGAGTCAGCTCTGTCAAGGTAAACCTTCCTGGAAATCTCTCACAATGAGATAGATCTCCGGTTTGCCCCATGGGCCCCTACTACTGCCAACTCCAATGCATAGCAACAAGGTAGAACTGCCCCTGGAGGCTTCCGAGACTGTCACTCTTTAGGGAGCAGGAAGACTCATCTTGCTCCCACCCAGCAGCTAGTGATTTGAAGCCCAAAGCATAACCCATTGCGCTACCCAGCAGGGAACTACAGCCATGCCTAGCTACAGGCAAACCAAACTCACTGCCTGGGCGTCCATTCTGACCCCCGGTGACCATATGCCAAAGACTGGAAAATGTAGTCTGATGCTGAAGAGTGGCATCCTCACTACCAATCCATGTCCTCGAGGGCCTTCCTCTTTTTCACTACCCTCTACCAAACATGATGTCCTTCCCCAGAGACTGGTCTCCCCTGACAATATATCCAAAGTACTCGAGACAAGGTCTCACTATCGTTGCTTCTAAGGAGCGTTCTGGCTGTACTTTTCCCAAGACAGATTTCATTGTTCTCTTGGCAGTCTATGGTACATTCAGTGTCCTGGCATAGACAAGGGAGTGCTCCCAGGGCTTCATCAGTTTGTTGAAACCTTTCATTTAGTATTCCATCCATTGTAATGTCTTCACTGCAGCTTGGACTTCTTCATTTCAGTACCTTTGGTTCTTGGCCTTTTGCTCCCTCTTGATATGGTTGAATGTCTACTTGCTCTTGTTGGTACTGTGATTCTGTATATTCTTTCCATCTTTTTTTCCCCTACATCTCAAAAATTTTAATTGAATAGTACTGCTCTATATATTCAAGCTATTCATGATGTAGGTATAGAAATGCCTCTAACACCATTAATCGGATGAAACATTGGTTGGTGAACATGTGCAATCAATGTGCTGCCAGTTTATATTTCCTTCTTTTAATGCTTTCTGCATCATTCAATATTTTGCCCATAGAATCTTTCAGTATTTCAACTCAAGACTTGAGTTTTTCTTGAGTTCATTCAGTTTAAGATATGCTGAGCATGTTCTCCCTTTTTGGTTTTCTAACTCGAGGTCTTTGCACTTTTCATTATGATATTCTACTTTGTCTTCCCAAGCTTCTCTTTGAGATGTCCTATTCTGTCAGGGGAGACCAGCCCCTAACAACTATCACGAGTTCGTAGGTGCAACTGTATGGTTAAAATATATAAAGATTGTAGTGGAGTCATAGAGAACAGGAGAGGTAAGAGAGAAGATAGGATTTCAGACACATTTCATGGTAGCATGCTTACCTCAGTCCCTCTTGATGGTTCATGTGGAGATGCGGAAGGAAGAGAGCAGGAGAGAGCAATTTATTTCTAACCAAGGCTTATATATCTTTGGGGGTGTGCAAGCCCCTAATTACAGGTAACCTCCATCACAGGAAGGGGTTGTACCATAGGCAATATAGCAGTGGGAGGGGAATGATCTAGAGGTGTGCACACTGTAGGAAGAGGAGGGATTAGGGGTATACATGTGAAGATGGGCTGATCCTAGATTCAGGATGGCAGCCTAACCTTGGTTGTCACTGAGCTGGTTTGACCTGTTCTGAGTTCTCCTTCAGGAAATCAATCCGATATCCTTATAAGCAGAGAGTGAGCCCCACCTATGGTGGGACAGGCAATAGGGTCTACTTGCTCTGGATGGCTGATGCCTTCAGGGAGATAACTTGACTATCATTTACCATTAGTTGCAAGCAGTGTCCTAGGTCTGACATATATTTTGGGGAGACAAGCTGGGGAACAACCTCTTTATGTCCCACACTGTTCAGCTCTTTGACTCGTATCATTTCTTCCCTGTGCCTTAGCTACTCAACGTTTAAACAGGCAGTGTGATAGTTACATAATCTCCCATCAACTTGCAAAGGGGTGGGGTCTAGTCTGTCAGTCAGGTCACAGCTTGATGACCTAATTTGGGAGGTGTAAATGGAGATAAATAGCTCACTGGAGGCCAGATACACACTCTGCCTGGGAGCCATTCCTGTTGACAAGAGGCATGGAGCTTTGCTCATGTAGCTAGAGCCCTGGAGCTGAAGGAGCCACGTGGAGACCCACGCCAGCACTGATATGCTTCCACCCCCACTGAATCCACTAGACTTTCCACCCACTGGCCTGTGGTCTTCCTGCATTTAGCATCATTGCATGGCTGTGTGAATCCGAAGAAGAATTTGTAGACTAGTATCAACATATAGGGTAATAACAACATATAGGGTAATAACATATAGTGTTACAGCATATAGGGACTGGGCTGGGATGTTTGCTTAATGGACAATTGCTCTTTGATATAATGTTCTCTGCTACACACATGAGTGTCTATGAATTTGTTTCTCTGGTCAACCCAAACTAACACAGCTAGTTTCAGAGTCCTTTCTAACATCTCCTTTGGTCTTTTCTTTCTTTCCTGTTTGTTTGGGGGGTTTTTTGTTTGTTTTTTACCGCTGCCCCTGCCCCGCCGCCCACCTTCTTTCCTTTTTTTTAAATGACCTTTTGCTTTCTTCATGGATGATCTTCTGGATGCCCTCCCACAGCTCATCAAGTTGTCTGACGTTAGTGTTCAACGCAGTAAATCTGTTCTTTGTCTCTTTTGGACTTGTCATTTTCTTCACCTTCAGCCTGGAAGGAACATAGGAGCAATTGATGGTCTGTTCCACAGTCAGCCCCTGGCCTGGTTTTAGCCACTGATATTGAGCTGCTTCTTTGTCTCTTCCCACAGATGTAGCCATTTGAT